TTGTACACTTTAAACAAATTCACCTCCTCCACTATATTTCTATTTTGCCCCTTCTTCTCCCCTTCTTTTCAAATAGCATTTGATGGGTTTCATTATGCTGCATTGTATGTGTGTATGTATATGTATTTATAATATTTGTTATATATACACATATACAGTTATATAGCATCCATCATATATAATATAGAATATATAATTTTTTTTTTTTAGTCGGTCATGGGGCTTAAACTCTGGGCTTGGGTGCTGTCCCTGTGCTCTTCAGCTCAAGGTGAGCGATCTACCGCTTGAGCCACAGCGCCACTTCTGGTTTTCTGGTGGTTATTGGAGATAAGAGTCTCATGGAGTTTCCTGCCCAGGCTGGCTTTGGACCGTGATCCTCAGATCTCAGCCTCCTGAGTAGCTAGGATTACAGGCATGAGCCACCAGTGCCCGATATAATATGTATTTTATATGATGGATTTCATATGTGTATATACAATGTGCTCTATACATGCATATATATGATATCTACACAAATTAATATATGTATATATTTTATGTGTAAGACACATATATACTTATATACACACATTTATATGTATATATACATCTTTGTATGTACATATGTATTTATGTGTATGCATATGCGTACATCCTTTGGTCCTCTTCATTCCCCTTTCTCCCCTTTCCATTGAGCCTCTCCCGGAGAGTCATCTTTTGGTACTGAGGATGGAACCTAGGATGGTGTATTTTCTAGGCAAGTGATTAGCCACTGAGCTACATCCCAGCCCTACCCTTACTTTCTTCATCATTATCACTGTTATCCTCTTCTTCCTCTTAGGTCTATCCTCCACAACTGAGTGAGTGAGAACATGTAATATTTGTGTGTGTGTGTGTGTGTGTGTGTGTGTGTGTGTTAGTATGGAGGCTTGAACTCAGCGCTCACCTGGTCTTTTTTTTTTTTTTTTGCTGAAGGCTGGTACTCTACCACTTAAGCCATGCCTACACTTCTGGCATTTTGCAGCTTCATTGGAGATAAGAGGCTTTGAGATTTGTCTACCTGGGCTGGCTTTGAACTTGCTTCCTCAGATCTCATGCCCTGAGCAGCTAGGATTATAGGTATGGGGCATGTGTGCCTGACTTGAAACTTCTAGGAAGTCTTGCTTGAACTCCTATTCTTCTCAATACACACAGTCTTGACAATTGTTTTATTTATGACAGTATTAACACTTACCTCCTGTGCTAAATTGGGAACTTAGAAAGGATTGCAATTGTGACTATTCTTTGCTATTTCCTGGGGTGGGTGGGTGGGTAATGCATCATTAAAGAGTTGTTTTTTTTATTGTTTTTTTTTAAATTGCTGTTCTATAGAGAAGTGGATTAGTAAGGAGAGATGGTTGGTGAGAGCAAGTTAAGACTATAGAGAAACATAATGAGGGGAAGGGACTTTGTCCACAGCTGTTTTGAAGTCTTTGCTCAAATATCACCTCTTAAACATTGACATAGGAAACCAGATGCTGGTGGCTCATGCCTATAACCCTGGCTACTCAGGGACTAAGATCTGAGAATCCTGGTTCAAAGCCAGCCTGGGGTTAGGGGGAGGGGTAAGGAGAGTCTGTGAGAATCTTTTCTCCAATTAACCATCAACCAACCAGAAGTGGAACTGTGACCCAAGTAGCTGTAGCTCGGGTAGCGTACTGTCCTTGAGCAGGAAAGGAATTCAAGCCTCAGTACTCCACCCCTCCAAAAATAAAACAAAGAGCTTTGACCCAATGGGCTGGGAATGTGGCGTAGTGGTAGAGTGCTTGCCTAGCATGCATGAAGCCATGGGTTCCACATGAACAGAACTAGTACCATATACACAGAAAAGGCTGGAAGTGGCTTCAAGTGGTAGAGTGCTAGCCTTGAGAAAAAAAAAAAAAAAGCTCAGGGACAGTATCTAGACCCTGACTTCAAGCCCCAGGACTGGCAAAAAAAAAAACTTCAAACAACTCCAAAAAACTTTGACCCAAGAAAACTTGAAGGCTTGATAGAGAAAATATATCATCTACCTAAAAAGAAAAACATTTAGCAGCAGAACAGTAGGTATACTTAGCACAAAAAGAACAAGGCAATCACATTTCAACAATACCAGAAACCAGGCCACAGCAGATAAAGATTTACATAGCATATAGAGAATATTGGTCCAGCTCTTGTTTTCCAAATCATCAATGCTTTAAGATTTTTTCTGGAATACACTGATGGATTGAATTGATTGGCTTTTTTCAAAGTAGAGCCTCACCAAGTTGATGTTGAACTCACTATTTTCTTCCCTCAGCCTCCCCAGTTCCATGGGCAAGTGCCATAATAACCAACTTAAAAAAAATGTTGTCATTTAACAAAATCCCTGATAGTCCTCATGTTTTAACCTGGACTAGTTTTGCATGTTTTCAATGCAGTATGCCAAATTTACATTATCCGTTTACAGACTTTTTGCACCCAGCTGGGGAGCTTGTGGCCTGAGACAGTTCTTTTTCTTTTTCTTTTTGGCCAGTCCTGGGGCTTGAACCTAGAGCCTAGGCACTGTCCCTGAGCTGCTTTTGCTCAAGGCTTGAGTCACAGCGTCACTTCTGGCTTTTTCTGTTTATGTGATACCAAGGAATCGAACCCAGCGCTTCATGCATGCTTGGCAAGCACTCTACCACTAAGCCACATTCTCAGTCCTGAGACATTTCTTAAATCCTGCTCCCTTTCCTCCTCTTCTTTCCCCTTTCTCCTCCTCTGCTTTGTCTCCTCCTTCCTCTCCTCTGTTTTTGCTTTTGGCTGTGAGGTTTGAATTCAGAGCCTCCTGCCAAACCTTTTTGCTTTCTTTAAAAGTAAGGTCTTGAGTGTTGTTGCTGGGCTGGTCTTAGCAATCCTTCTACCTGTACCTCCCAAGTAGTTGGGTTGCCAGGTATTGTACTGTCACTCCTGGCTCGTTAGTGAAGATGGAGTCTTTGAAATTTGTAGCCTAGTCTGGCTTCCAACTGCAGTCCTCCTTAGAGGCTGAAATTATAGATGTCCTGCCCTACTCATCATTGAGAAAGCATACTCAGAAGGAAGTGATAGTGGTTAGTCAAGGAGATGTTGCTTTTCCTTTCTTGACTTTCCTGTCCTTCCTTTGACACAGGTGTTCCCTGTCTAGCCCAGCCTGGCCTGAAAGACCCTATGCTGCCATCCTCCTGCCTTGCTTTCCAAGTGCTGAGATTACAGGCATATACCACCACTCCCAGCTACATCACTAGTGTGTGTGTGTGTGTGTGTGCATGCATACACGCATTAGTCCTATGGCTTGAACTCAGAGTTTGGGTGCTGTCCCTGAACTTTTTTGCTCAAGGCTGATGCTCTACCACTTGAACCACAGCTCTACTTTTGGCTTTTTGCTGATTTAGAGTCTCACAGACTTTCCTGCCATGATCCTTTGAACCATGATCCTCTGGTCTTAGCCTCCTGAGTAGTTAGATGTGAGTAAGTGACACCTGGCTTGCATTGCTATTCTGTGTGTGTGTGTGTGTGTGTCCATTTACATGAATTGTTTTTACTGTGTCCAAACATTTTGGAAAATGTCAACACTGAAATAACCCAAGGAAGCTGGATGCCATTGTTTCACACCTGAAATCCTAGCTACTTAGGAAGCCAACATTTAAGGACTGTGGTTGGAAGCCAGCTTGAGCATGAAAGGCCTTGAAATTCTTTATCTCCAGTTTAACCACCAGAAAACTGGAAGTGGCATTGTTCTCAAATAAAGTGCTAACCCCAAGTGAACAAACTCAGACCCTGAGTTCAAGTCTCATGACTGACAAAATAAACGAACAAAAAAAGCAAGGAATAATACAATGCATAACTATACACAACCTTCAGTTAGTTTTATCAGTTTGTAATGTTTCACTACTGTGATTTTTCTGTTCCTTTCTTTTGCCCCACGTAGTTCATTGAATTGTATCCTAAAAATGAGGGCCTTTTTATATATAAAAAAGTTTTACAAGGGGCTGAGAAGGTGGCTCAGTGGTAGAGCGCTTGCCTTGCATGCATGAGGCCCTGGGTTCAATTCCCCAGCACCACATAAGCAAAAAGAATAAAAGCCAGAAGTGGCGCTGTGGCTCAAGTGGTAGAGTGCTAGCCTTGAGCTGAAGAGCTGAGGCACAGCGTCCTGGCCCAGAGTTCAGGCCTCACGACCAGACCCCCCCCCAAAAAATATGTTTCACAAAATGCCATTATCTGTTTATTCTAATTAATATCCTTATGCTTCTTTTTTTTTTTTGTCAGTCATGGGGCTTGAACTCTGGGCCTGGGCACTGTCCCTCAGCTCTTCAGCTCAAGGCTAGTGTTCTACCACTTGAGCCACAGCCCCACTTCCGGTTTTCTGGTGGTTAATTGGAGATAAGAGTCTCAAGGACTTTCCTGCTGAGGCTGGCTTTGAACTGTAATCCTCAGATCTCAGCCTCCTGAGTAGCTAGGATGACAGGCGTGAGCCACCACCGCCTGCTCTTATAATTTTTATCTTTAAAATAATAGTTTTCACCCGGTACTGGTGGCTCTCGTTTCATGAATGCTAGAAAAGCACTCTACCAGTAAGCCACATTCCCACCCCCTCTATTTTCTGTCTTACAACACCAATTCCTTTGAAGACTTCAGTATTTACTTTCGCTTCCGACTTGTGTTGACATTTACGTTATTGTTGGTAATACCCCTATTAGTGTTCCTGACACACCCAGTGTTGTCACATCCATCACACACACATGCCTCTAGGACAGGTGTGCAAATGTCTCTTGCCTCCGGTTCTCCCCGTTTCGCTCCCCAGGTTTTTGACAGGACGTGCGGCCTCTATGATCCTCCCCTCCAGCGGGCTCTGGGCCCAGCCCATGCCGCACAGCCTTCTGGGAGCCGTAGGCATCCTAGGTCCTTCGCTCCCAAACTACATCTCCCGGTAGGCTTTGCTTCTCCCCACGCCCTTCGAGGCGCATGGCCTGCCGGGAGGGGGCCGAGAGTCGGCGGCAGGGTCCAATGGGTGCGAGCTCCCGAGGAGAGGGCGGTGGAGCGGAGGACGAGGCAGGTTCTGGGCTGGGTCCCCCATTCATTGCCGCAGCCAGCCGGTCGGGGGTCCCGGGTTTCGGGAGCCATGGAGGCCCTCATTCCTGTCATCAACAAGCTACAGGACGTCTTCAATACCGTGGGCGCCGACATCATCCAGCTGCCGCAGATCGTCGTGGTGGGGACGCAGGTGAGAGTCAAGGGCCGCGGTCGCCAGGCCGGAGCCCCGGGCTGGGGTGGTAGCCGCGCCGCCTCGGGG